GTGCAATCAAACACAAGGGATGAGGGAAAGGGAGGGGTCTAGGCTAATGCCTAAGCTTTGGTGGAGGCTGTGGCAGGTGGCATGGCATTCACTGGGAAGGAGAGACCAGCGGTCTGCACTTCGGACAGGCTGCACGTGAGGCGCTCCTTGGTGGCCTGCAGGTCCTGGACTGGACGGGCTCACCCAGGGGGAGTGCGCAGCTGGGAGAGGGGGGACCTGGGGCCAGGAGCAGGAGCGCTCTGATGCATGCCTGCAGCTGGCCTGCCTGCTCTGGCCTGTGGTGTCCTCCGTTAACTGCAGGAGATTTGAAACCTGAGGATGAATTCCCTTTTTTCAGTAGTCGAGTCTCTGGAAGCCATACCAAAAGTTGAAATTACAGTGTTTGCAATTCATGATCATTTTGCCATCAAGTTAGGATTAAATTTTTTCCAGATAACCTTTCTGCCTTTTAGATCTTCATATTGTATGATGCCACAGACACATGCTTTGCTAAACTCTCTTGTAATGACCGGACTTAAAATGTGGGGCAGTATGATCTCGCTGAGAGATCATTTTGATTAAAACACTGGTATGAACTCCATTTTTTCATTCAATTACTTTATGACATTAGGAACATTAAATAACTACTCTGAGTCTTAACTCCTTTACTTACATGTTGAGAATAATAGCTACTTTGCAACCTTGAAGTAATAGTAAGGTACCACGGAAAAGTTAAGGTGTAACAGAAGACCCTCTTGGCTGATGTCCACTTAATTACCTAATGGCCCAAACCAGTGAACCACGGACCCACACCAAGCACTCTGACCCACGCCCAGGACATCCTCCACGCCCCGCCCCCACCCCCGCCCCACGGGATTCCCCCTTGCTCCCCAGGAGTCGGTGTGTTTGTTCGCACACCAGGCTGTGCCGGCCATTCTTGTTTGGAAAATATGTGACTTAACTGAATAAACCAGTGATTTCTGAGTACCGAAGAGACCAATAACCCAGTGATACAGAGCACAAACAGAGAAAAATGGACCAGTGGTATACGAGCACACAACTAAGTTTCTCTTAAACCTTAGTTGTGTACTTCGGGGGACTGGCTGTTGAATTGGGTTTGGACAGGCCGCTCCAAAAGAACAGAGAGAGTACTGTGAAAAATCTGGAATACTTTTGTATTCAGATTGCTTGTCAAGTACCTTTAAATTCCGGTACCACATTAATGGAGCCAGAAGTGGCAATAATTATAGATAAAATTCTATGGATGCGCCTTGTGAAAGACATTCAGCATTGAAACATTCCGGTCAGTGTGCTCCTACTTTTTTTTTTTTTTTTAACTATATTCTAGGTGGAAAGGCCAGACCAAATCCTTCTCTTTCCCGAGGCGTCAGACTCCCTAAAAACAAGAGGAGGTCTGTGGGCCCCGAAAAGGGCCGCAGACACACGGGGCCTTGCCCTACTGCAGTCTCGGGCGTCTGTGGACGAGCCTGGCGCCTGTCCGTGGGCCCCCGCTGCAAAACCCCTGCCTCACGTCCTCACCTGCCACCTGCTCGCATCTCGCACTGGAGAACTTGATGACTCCATCAATCTTGATTATAATATTTTGTTTACTAAATCATGCGATGTTATTTTTTTAGTTTTACTTAGACAGAAGGTAGCAAATCAATTACATTTTACAGCTGCATTTCTAAATTGTGTTTGTATGTGTGACTGGGATGATTTATCACACACATAAGTTATGTAAGTGAACTGAAAACATCAGAACAATGAGGGCTAAGTGATATCATAAAGAATTCCTCATTCTTATATACTTAGATTAAACTAGGTAGAAGATAATTTTACCTTAAGCCTTATAACATATAGTATGCCGGAAATTATACAGAAGTTGGGAACAGTTTCATTTAAGTTCTTTAATTAGTGTGAAGTACTCTTTAAGTACCATAATGTCATAAAGAAACTGGAGGTGTCATCCGTTGTTACACCTCCTGGCGGGCTGCACTTAAATCACCCCTGACAGGCAGCAGTGTTTCTGTTTTTAAAGATTTCCGGGGCAGAGATGACATAGATGTATTTGGCAAGGGTTTCAACTGTAGTGCCACTGAGAAACTTTCTGGAAAGTCGTATTTAATGTTTTTCCCAAATCACTGATGATATTGGGAACTGCCAGTGATGATCGCTGATGAAGAGGGCGTTTCTCATGGATCAATGGATCACACAGAGTCAGATCCTCCCCTTGGGTCTCCCGTCCCCGTCACCCCCCCCCGCCCCCCCGCAGTTACATGACCTGGTGGAGGGAGCAGCAGCTACGGAGCCCTGGCCAGCGGGCTCCAGGAAGGTCTCCAGGGACAGAGCTGGAGAAACCCCTTCTCTCTTCGCCCGTCAGTGCCTCCTGAAATGTCGTCAGAAGTGAGATGGAAGGAAACACTTAGCAGAAAAATAACCATTTTTCTAGCCACTTCAAAATCTTTGTAGAAAGAAGCAGAATATACAAAAATCTAAATAAATAAAAACAATATTTATCTAAAATATGTTTTGCGGTAGATTCCTCAGTAAATGTTTGTTGAGTAAATAAGGAATAAAATTTTCTAACAGCTAGGTTTTCTACAAAGTTAGCCTATAAATCAAATATTTATTGAATTTCTGCGTGCAGATAAACTGTTGCAGATACCGTGGAAACTAACAACCCCTTTTTAAAAGTTTCTGTTCTTGGAGGGGGGGGGGGGTGCGCCCACACATAGCATAGCTATGCATGCCCACACGTGTGTAGACCACTATTCAGCATCGCAACACAGGGCTGCCGGATGCTTTGCACGTAACATAAATGTGAAGCTTTGGATGAAGATGAGCCGGGAAGGCGGCGTGGAAAGAAGGGCGGCAAGGTGGCATCTGGAGAAAGCGCGGGACTTCGGTGGCAAAGCTAAAATCGCGGATTAGGAAACGGGTGCAGCCGGAGCCTGAGAGCGACGCACACGCGGTTGGTTTGCCAGACAGCGAGAGCCTCGCGAAGTGCGTGGAGGTCGGAAAGATGACTGACACGGGACTGGGGAGGACTTCCGACGCCCGTGTGGACTTCTTTGGTGGCGGGGGTCCCCGCAATGATCGGTCACGGACAGCGGGTTCCCCCGCGTGTCGGACAACCGCGCGGCGCTGCCCGGGTCCGGCCAGGGCGCAGCTGTGCACGCTGGGCGCCGCCCCGATGGCACTGGCGCGGAGACCGAGCTGGAAGGACCGGGCAACAGAGAGACGTGGCAAAAGAGGGATCCGGTTAGGGGCAGACTGGCTGCTGCGTGGGAGGGGGAGTGAGGCGTGGAGTGCGCGGCTTTGCGGCCAGGCCCCGCTGGCTTTTTCACTTTATGGAAAACGGTAGTATTTTATTAGACAGCGCTAGTGTCGTTCAGGTGAACGGTCACAGGTCTGCGGGTGAGCGGCTGAGACGTTGGGCACGCTGCAGGTGCTGTCTGGAAGGGCCTCCTGTGGGCCGGACGCCCGCCGACTTCGTGAGCCTGAGCGTGGTTCCGCCGCCACTCCGTGGGGTCAGAGGTCACTGCTCCTCGGCGGCCGCGCAGGACTGGCACCTTTCACTCCACTTGACCCAGAAGACTCGCCGCTGCAGTCATTTTGCTTTTCTGTTGTGCGTTGTTTTGTTACGGTGGGGATTCCAAACCACGTGACAGACTGAAAAATAAACAGAACAAATGTATCCGACTTGATCACCGCCACGGAAGTAAAGCCGAGGTTTGCCTGTCGCAGAACCAGCGACCGATCCTGGCGCTCCGCGGAGCAGCTGCCCGGGCCGGGCCGGGGACCTCGCCGAGTCAGACTGGGCGAGTCCCGCGCGGTCTCTCAGTTCTGTGAGGGCGGCGGCGGCTCTGCGTTCTGCACCGTAGACCTCGCACTTGGCCCAGAGACGGGTCAGTAAATGTTTGAGGAATTGATTTGTGGACATTATTATTTGTTCTCGCCTGTGTGTTTATAGCAGATTGCTTCTGGATTTTAACAACTGCTGTTCACTCTAACACAGGACACTCGAGAGACCAAGTTTTAAGCTGTTTGTGGAGCTCCTTGGGGGCGGGGGCGGGGGGGGGCGGGAATCAAAGCTGAAGTTATTCTGAAAGTGTTAATCTGTTGATTTCTTTTAAGGAGCAGAAGGTCAAAGGATAACATCCATCTTGAATTACTATTTTAATTCTCAGAAATTGAGTCACTCTCTTTTTCAGCTCTTTTTAAGATGACATTGTATCTACTTCTAACCTGAGACCCTTGAAATTATCTGGTTGAAAACAATATAATCCGTATATATTGAACAGGGAAGAGAAAGTTCTGTGCATGAGAAATTTCCAGCTAATAAAGCACAGAGGGTATTCATGTATAAAATGCAGCACATGTGCAACCAAAGCAGACAGAGGCCTGACCCTCCTGCGTAAGGGGCGGCGGACGGATTGGCCTTGCCTGGCCGTGCCCGGGGTTGAGCCCCCCCCAGGAAGCACCACGTGGGACTCTGCAGCTGAGAGGCACGGTGGCCGATGGGGTCCTATACTAACCATCCCTGTGTCTGTTTAATAAGAGAATACTTCCCTTTTAACGCCAGAGAATACTCAAGATGATAATACTGAAGACACTTTGGCACTTCTAATTTTTTGCCACAGGAGGGGTTCCTGAACATAAAATGTACTGTCTTAACCATTTCTAAATTGTGATAGGATATGCATAACATTAAATTGTGATAGGATGTGCATAACATTAAATGTATCAGCTTACCCACTTTCAAGTATAGAGTTCAATGGTGGTGTGTATTCACAGTGCTGCACAGCCGGTCTCCAGAATACGTGTGTAAGAAATGAATGAGTCCTTTAGATGTGGTGCATTTAGAAACTTTATTTTGCAATACAATATTTTTGCAAATACAATATTTTCGCTCAAAGCATGAATGTGTATCTCACTAATAAAGATTCCATTTTGTTCTTTTTTTTTTTTTTAAACAAACCCTCCCTCCCTCCCTCCCTCGCTCGCTCGGCTGATAGGAGTGAGCTGAGTCGACAGAAACTTCACACCCAAGAGCTGCTTTCTCAGCTGGAAACTGCGAATGAAAAGGTAGCCGAGGTAAGATAATGACTCTCCCGGAAGTGCTTCTGCTGCAGCGTGGGGTGCACGTTAGAGAATTGTACTTGAGCCGAGCCCAAATCAATTCTGTACTTGGAAGTGGCCACACAGACGTGAGGATTTCTCGTGGAAATCACCCACACCCTGGAAGTGCACACATGACACAATGTGAAGAAAAGCTTTGAGCGTCAGCGACTCATCACATGTACGTGACCAAAGCGGGGAGCTGGGGCCGAGGCACGGGGCTGCGCTCCAGAGACCCGCCCTCCTGACGTCCCTGTGCGTCTGGGCTCCGTCTGTGACCGTTCCTCTCGCTTAGTTTTCATCCTTCGCAGGAGACACACAGCAAATACTGTGGCCCGGTGGAATATATTAAAATACTGCTTTAGATTCCTTTAGAGCTAAATGTAGCAAGAGTTCAGTTTTTTTCTGCAAAGTTCTAAGGAAGTAAACATCTTCTAGATTACAATTAGAGCATTCTAGAACTCGAGTTCTTCTTTTGAAGCTCTGACTTCAGATGTATTGGTTGGAATTTCTGTCCTGGGCTCCGTGGACCCCTGTCTCGCTGTGGCCTTCTGTAGGTGCCACAGTGAGATCGCTCTTAAATTACTCTTCAGCTTTGTAGCGCCGGGAATTGATGTGAACCGTTTAGGAAACAATTAAACACGAGCCATTAAAGTATTCTTTGGTGTAGTTCCCACTTCCCGAAATCAGTTCTCAGGACGTCATTTAAATTATGAGAAAATTTAAAGGGAAACATTCAACGCAGTACTGTCAATAATATTGGAAGGTCAGAAGCAACCACAGTGATCAGTGGAAAAAGAACAACACCAATATATCGTGAGTTATGTAATCTGGACCATGCCTTATTATTGTAGCAGCATAGGAAAATGCATGTTATAGGTAGTGTCCATGTGATTAGAAAATGTTTATTATGGATGATGGTGACTTTTTCCCCAAGTTTTTGATGTGCATCATAATGTAAGACTATGTATTTAAACAACTTGGTAAATTGGAACAGCTGATAGTTTTTGGCAGAAAATTTAATTTTGTTTTGGGACACAATAAGAAGTATAATAAGCTCATTTTAACAGGATACGGTTATTTCAATATTTTATGTTGCTAGACATGACATTCCTGTAATCACTCATATGTTAGGGTGTGGGAAGTATATAGTCCTTCACAGAAAGTGCATTTTTTTGCTGTTCCTGATTAGGCTAGTTACTCTCTCAATTCCCACAAGTGCCAGAAACTTGAACAGTTCCAGTTGCACAAAAATGTTTTCCTCAGGCAAGCGAGTGTGGGGAGGGCTGATGCATTTTTTTAATTGACAGCATCTCTGAACTTGCGTGCATCACAGCGTGTTGTCACAGATTTATGCCCACAGTGCCTGTCTAGGTTCTGGAGGCCGCAGCAACAGCATTACAGATCGGTTGGCTTAAACGTCAGAAATGCGTTGTCTCTCACTTCTGGACGCCAGAGGTCCCCAGTGGAGAAGTCAGCTGGGTCGGTTCCTTTTGAGGGTTCAGAGGAGACTCCCTCATCCCCTGTCCCGTGCCTGCCCCCTGGCTTCTCGTAGCCCCAGGCATCCCTCCACTTGTAGGTGGTGGTCTCCCCATTTCTTCATGTGCTCTTCCCTTAGTACATGAGTATCCGTGTCCAGATCCCCCCATTTTATGGAGACCCCAGTCGTATTTGATGAGGGCCGAGCCTAATAATATCATCCCAACTTAATCATCAGTAAAAACCCTATTCCAGATTAGGTCACATTTATAGGCACTGGAGGTGAGGACTTCAATATCTTTTTTCTTAGGGACATAATTCCACTCATAACAAAAATCTTAATAACTCTGTTGACCCTAATGCTCTCTGGAGTATACGACGGGGTCTGTCCAGAAGGTATCCAGCCATGTAAAATGGAAAATACATTTATTGGAGAAGATACAAGAAACATTGTACGTAGGACAATGATACCTCAGTCCCGTACAAAGTAGGCACCTTGGGACCTTGCACAGTTCTCCCAGTCGCCATCAGCTGCCCCATCGAATTTTCCTGAATCTCGTCAATGCTCTGAAATCTCTTCCCTTTCACTGGTAATATTACTTTGGGGAAAGCCAGAAGTTGCAGGACACCAAGTCTGAATGTAGAGGGGCTGACTCACCTGGGTGATGTGATGTTTCACCAAAAAACCCTGCATCAGACCTGATACATGTGTGGGTGCGTTGTCATGGTGAAGCTGCCAGTCACCAGCTGCCCAGAGCTGCGGTCATTTTCTTCGTATTGCATCTCTCAACTGATGAAGAACACTGAGGTAGTCCTCCTTGTTAACTGTTTGGTGTGAAGGGGTGTACTTGTGATGGACAACACCTTCCCAACCAAAACCCACAGTTAACGTGGTCTTAATCGACTTGTACTTTGCCACACCTGCTTCAGGTACGGAGAACCAGGCGACTTCCATTGGGACAACTTCACCTTCATTTCCAGATCACGGCCATAGGCCCACCATTCACCTCCAGTTATGACCTCCTTGAGGAAACCTGGTTCACTGGTAGCAGTTGAATTGAGTCATTAGCAGCTGCAGCACGATGTTCATGCTGCTCTGGTAGCAGAAGCTGCAGAACAGATTTCGCCACAACATATTTCATTCCAAGATCCTGCATCAAAATCTTGAACACAGAAGTTTCTGGAATCCCTAGATCAGCTTCTAGTTTCTGCACTTTCTGTCACTTACCTATGTTCAACATTCTCAGCTGTTCTGCTTGTTGCATTCTGGCCTTCCAGAACGCAGTCACTTTCAACAGATTCTTGACCGTCTCTGAAGCATTTGTGCCACACTTGTATTTGTGCTGCACTCGTTGCATCGTCCCTGAAAGCCTGCTGAATCATCCAGCTGGTTTCCATGGAGGAATGTTCAAGCTTAATGCAAAATTTGATGGAGATTTGTTGCTCTACTCGCTCAGTCATTTTGAATGTGACAGCCACACAGTACACACACTCACTCAACAGCATCTACCACCCCCTCTGAGTAGTACAGTGAAGTCGTCATTGTTCACACATGCGCATTCCAGTCCACTCGCCTTGGCTGCCAGGTTACATCGATGTCACCCAAACTGTTCTTGTTATATTAACAATGACTGGACTTTTTCCAGACAGACCTTGTATACTGTTTGGAGAAACATGTAGAAATAAAGTTGTTCACTTTTTAAAGAATAACTTTAGCATATAAATCATTTAAGACACATCTAACTCTGTAAAAACCAGGATTTCTAGAATGAGTATTTTCTGTTTCTTCGGATTTAATAATGTCCATCCCCACTTTCCCTGGAAGCTCGTTCTAACCTAGTGGCCCTCGAGGCCCAGTGGGCAGTGGCAGTGCCCCCTGGGACCTAGACAGACCACAGGCTCTCAGGTGGGGAACAGCTCTGGCTGGGGGGGCCGGTCTCTGCCTTTCATGCTCCCCACGTCCAAAGCAGTGTACCAGCATCTCGAGGTCAACGGATCAAACACTGAAAATCTCGTTCTTCACTTTAATGCACTTAGCTTTGCATTTGATTCACTTGTGTTTTTTTTTATGGCATGTAGTGGTAAAAACAGTTTAGTGAGGCCGTAAAACCAACTTTGAAGTTCATAGCTTGAAAAAAAATGTAAACTTAGAGATACATTATCTTTGCATTTTATAAGAGGTAAAGCGATGTCCAGGTTTTCCATTGATTAGCCCACCGAACGTCTCCGTGCTGTGTCGCGTGTGGTTTTCTGACCGGTGTGTTTCCCATTGCCCCTCAACAGAGTGAAAAGCTGGCTCTAGAGCATCAGGAAAAAGCCAACAGACTGCAGCGGCGCCTCAGCCAGGCGGAGCAGAGAGCGGCCTCGGCTTCGCAGCAGGTAGGGCGCCGCCTCGCCGTCCCCGGATGCGGGGCCGTCTGCGTGGGCCCAGGCTGAGGGCCGGTCCTCGCAAGTCCCCGAGCACTAGCACTTGCACTGTTCCTCGACTGGACCGTTTAAAGTGAGTCTCTCTAACATTCGAGGTTGGAAAGGCAGACTTTAGAAACAAACACGCAAGCACTCCTTCCGACGACCCCACACTGAGCCCTGCACCGTCCACTCACGGCCACCGGCCACCAGCAGCCGTTTAAAGTAATTAATGTTAGACAAAACGAAAATTGAAATCCTCGGTCACGCCAGCAGATTCCAGCTGCTCGGTAACCGCGTGCAGCCACGGCGGACATGGGAGACAGCGCGGATGCGGAGCGGCTCTGCCCCCGCAGGAGCCCGGGCAGCCCCGCTCTAGATCGAGGTCACGTGTGAAGCTCAGCGGGGATTGGCTGCCGGATTTTGAAGTAGATAACTGCTTCGAGCGTACCGTTTTGGATCGCTGTTTTTATTGTAGTTTTTAAATGGGAAAAAAAATTACTCCACATATCGGTTAACTTCATTGAATGTACATTTGAATGCAATAATTCAAATCTAGAATACGATATCAAGGCCAATGGGAAACAGCGGTAGGGAATGCAGAAGAACATCAGTGAAAGGCAAAGGGGGAATTTCCCACAATGCACGCTGTCGTGAGGAGAAGGGCCACTCGCTCTGAAGCAGGAGCAGTATCCCTTCCACGGGGCACAGACCGAGGCCCGTGTGGTGACCATAAGGACAGGCTGGGAAGTGCACGAAGCAGAAGATGGGTGGGCAGGCAGACACACCGACAAAAGCAAACCAAATTAGTGCATTGTTAACTATATTTGGTTATAAATGCACTATTTTAACTAAAATTAATATTCTTAGATATTACAGCAGCTTATTCATAGTAAAGCAGCCCTCAATGCTGAATTCAGTTTCTGTTCGTGATACAGACTTTATCTGGGAATCTACTGAGGGGAACACACTGGAATAAACTGTAGTCCTGAGTTGCCCTTCGGTTCCCCGCCCTCTCGAACGTGGTCGTAGCTTCATCAGATACGTGTAACTTCTCATGAGATGATGAATTAATGGTTACGTAGCCACTCAGGAGTTCCTGCATTCGTGTGGATTGTAAGGCGGAGGAGCCGGGGTGTCCTGAGCAGTGTCTGAGTGCGTGTCCGGTGTCAGGCAAATAGCCTGCGGCCATTAAGGAGCCGGGCAATTGGGGCGCCCTCACTCCCACTGCCGCAGTGTCTCTGGCGCCTGCAGGGTGACCCCAGCCCCCGACAGGGTCAGCGAGGGCGGAGGGGTCGAGCATGGAAAGCACCAGGCACTGAATGGTGCATAGACGGGTGTACGAGAGATTAAATTTTCTATATCACAGCCCTTAAAGCTTCAAGTTTCCCCTTTCTAAGGAATATGATAAAGCAAATGCCTACTTAAAATCGACTACCTTGAGTTCCTTAGTAAAAAGGGTAGTTGCAGAGCCTTAATTATATGCCCTGATTGGCATCAGGTTCAGTCCCTGCCCCCCCCCGCCCCCCCAGGACGTAGACCTACACACTCTCCTGTTGAACTCTGAGGGCAGGGATCCCACCGTCCTCCTCCTCGTGAGCGTTTCTGACGTTCCCGCAGTAACCACAGCACGCATCCCCCCCCCCCCAGCGTCCCTCCTTCCGTTTGTTCTCCCTGGGGGACGGAGAGGCCCCGCTCCGCGTCCCCCGCACGCACAAGAAGGAACTGGCTCCCTCGGGCCACTGTGTTTCCATTTCAAATGAGTGATAACTTCCTTAGGAGACATGTGTTTGGTTTTTTAAAACCTTTATCTTTGTCTTCTCTGAATCCTTTCTAATTTTTCCCACTTTCCTCTAAAAACTGGAAAGCACTATATCCTGCGAAGGGCCTGGTAGCTCGTGAAACGAGGGAGTTCGGGGAGGGCACGTTCAGGGTGTGGGGCACGTCTCACAGGTGTGGCCCGGCGGCGTGGCCCAGCCTCAGTCACGCCAGACGTGCCCCCCACCCCCTCTGTCTGCACCTCTGTCACCCATCCTTGTACTGCGGTGACATGTTCTAAGTCGCCGGTCTCCGTGAGTGTGTGTCGTGTCTTAAATACCAGTGCGGTGTGGCCTTTCTCTGCAAGAACACCCAGCCTAGAAACGAGGACAAGAACCCGATAAACGACTATGTAAAATTTCAGATTTACACATTAAAAAGTCACGAAGTCAATGACAAAAGTACTTGTAACACAGATGACAAAAAGGCTAGTGTGGGAAACACATGTGAAGAGTGGCTAAGTCCACAGAACCAGTCCAACAGCACATTGGACAAGTGACAAAGGGTGTTGACAGGAAGGAAGGACAGATGGCTTTTAAAAAAGATTTTTAAATTTATTTTTAGAGAGAAGGGAAGGGAGGGAGAAAGAGCAGTAGAGAAACATCAGTGCCTCTCACGTGCCTCCAGCTGGGGACCTGGCTCGCAACCCAGGCCTGTGCCCTGCCCGGGAATTGAACTGACGACCCTTCAGATCGCAGGCCAGCATTCACTCTGCCGAGTCACACAGCCAGGGTGACAGATGGCTTTTAAACATTTTTTAAAGATGCTCACCCTCAGCCATGAAACAAATACTAACCTAAACTGCGTCCACACATCGCTTCCCACCGTCAGGTCCTGAGTGGGGCAGCACGTGGCTCTGGCACTTCCCGGCGTCTCTGGTGTAAGTGCCACCGATGACACCGTCCCTTGGGAGCCGAGGTGGGCACCATCTCTCAGAACTGCAGATGCACAGAGTGTGTGACCAGCAGTTCTGAGGGTTCATTCTACAGGTGGCGTGCCTGTCCCTGGGCAAGTCTGCACGAGGAGGCATGTAAAATGCTAAGTGCAGCGTTGCCTTTAATTTTAAAAGATTGAAAACTGTCTAAGCACCCAATGAACAGGAAACCAGTTAAACTACAGAACGTGCAGGCAGAGGTGGCTGGCCGCTGGCGGGAGGAGTGCAGCAGATCTCGTGGGCAGCCCTTTCTCCCACAGGTCGTTCAGCAGGGGAGACGAGGAAAAGTGTGTGTAGTCCTTCGCATGGTAAAGAAAAGGGGCGAGGGAGTGCACGCATGTGTCCTCCTTCAGAACACTGCAAGGAGCACGCTGGGAAGCTGGACATGGCGGCCGGGTGGGGGAAGAGCTCGGTGGACGCCGGGCAGCAGCGGGGACGGACTCCACCCTGTGTGCTGTCGGCTCCGTGTCTGTGTCCACGCTGTCGGGCGTGTCCCTGTGTGTGTGTGTGTGTTCCATGCTCATTTCGATCACTTCCGATTAATAGTTCAGTGTTTTCCTACCAGGCTTCTCTTGCAGTGATCTGGCATCCTTTTATTCCCAGCCCAGCGCTGTGCTGGCTTACGCTTTGTATTTTAGCCGCTTTTCTGGTGAACTTTGACCTAGATGCCCTCCGTCCTGCTGTGAAGCATGCCCTGGGGATTCTGGGTCTGCGCCGAGCTGTGGCGTGTCACCCCCGACGCGCACACCTCTAGTGTGACGCAGACACGGTCAAGTCTCAAGAGGAAAATAGAAATGAACCCAAAAAGTGACCTCTTAGAAGACCCCTTCCAATCTGATTATTTGCAATAATTGTAAGTTGCGGTGCATTACACTGTGTATTCGCCTAAGATTTTCCATAGAAAAAGGAACCGCGGACTGACTGTGTGTTTCGATTGCAGCTCAGCGCGGTCACCGCGCAGAGAAGGAAAGCGGCCTCGGTGCTGATGCTGGGAGACACCTAAACGCCCCGCGGCTGGCGCGCTGGCTCGCAGGACGCCGGCACAGAGCCGCTGCCGCCCGGGGAGGAGTGTGCGGACAGCAGGCCAGGCTCGGGTCGCCCCGCGTGAGCGCCCTCCGCGCTGCGTCCGGCCCGAGGCTCGGTGGGAAGCAGAGCAGTGAGAGCCTGCAGTAAGCAAGGAAAACGCGACCCTGTCCTGAGCTTCGGTGGAGAATAAAGCCGGCCGAGGAGACGCCTTCGCCTTCATCACTGTGTCGATTTTTTCATCCCCCCTTTCCTTTGGAATTGCGTAGTAACTTTTCGGCTATGCTAATCATGAGGAAGAGATTTTAAGAAAAGTGCTAGAATTTTCATATTTCCACTTCCAAGATTTGAGAATTTTATATCCCATTGTTACTTCTAACTCATTTTTAAGGTTCCCAAGAATCCGTTTGATTATGAACTCATAAATATAATAAATTATGTGTTTTAAACTGACGCTCTCGTGTACTCGAATGTGTCGTTGTAGTGATTTGCTTTTTCACCGACGTGATTTCCAGTATTCATCAAACACCGACACTGAAGAATTCGGGAGGTTTGGGAGGCTTTGCTTCGGCTTTGCTGTTGGCAAAGCAGCGCTGACGAGATGGCGCGGGTCCTGAGAGCGCGTGGGCCTTGGGCGGCTGCGGCCCCGCGGGCTTTCACAGGCCCCGCGGCTCCCTCGGCTGCGGGGGTGAACGAGGCACGCCCTGCTTTCCGGGGATGAGAGCAGACAGGCGGGCGTCTGGCTCACGCTGGGAGACGGGGCGGTCGTTCAGGTAAAAGATGACCAGCCGAGTTCAAGGTGACACGAAGACAGCCCCACGCAGGTGCTCAGCCAGCGGTGGGAATCCAGGACAGGCGCTCTCAGACGGGGCTGGCCGGGGGGCTCGGATGCGCAGCTGCGGGGGGAGTCCGGGGAGGGCAGGAGCCTGCGCGGGTGTCGTGTTCTCGCCCTGAGCGTGGCCCTCCACCCTCATCGTCGCCCGGTCCCCCCCACACACATGTGCGCGTTGTGCGGACAACGACTCGGGCCAGGCAGGGCCCCTTGTTGCGTCGCTCTTAATGGTCCAGCACTTACCAAAACTCGTGCTTAACTCTCCACGCTTTTTCCTTCAGGGCCCTCTCCTCCCCGCAGACTGGGAGCCCCTGAGAGCAGGACTCACGTCCCCTTGACCCCAGCACCCACCAGGGCTCCCGGCCCAGCCAGGGAGTTCAATAACGATTCGTTCAAATGTGGAAAAAGAGTTTTTAAGGACAGGACCTTAAGAAATGTCTTCATTTATTGAATGAGCTCAGGAAGACGCGTTTGACGGAGACCAACCCAATAAGGCAGAGACGAAAGGAAGGGGGCGCTGGGGCCGTGTGCGCAGGGGCGCAGCAGTGGCCGCGGTCGAGCGCAGGGACGCGCCAGTGGGTCCATGGGGCAGTCCGGCGGTGAGTGGAGGGGCGCACAGCTTATTTCCACTTCCTAAAGAATTTGCATTTGATTCTCTAAATTCCTTCCCATGTCATGCGCAGACTAATTTCCATGTGATAAGAGTTATTTTCATATTCATGTTTATAGGATGTAGAATTTATTTTTAAAAACGTTTTATTTAGAGATGTTAGAATTATATCTCACCGAAAAAATGAGGCTGTGGGAGAAAGCGCTTCAGAAAGTAACCTCCTAGACAAATGGAGACTCGCACTACCCAGGCTCACTTCCTCAGGGCCACAATGGTGCGGCGGGGGCACCTTCCCCACGCTCGGACACAGGCACCGGGTCCTTGCATTTTCACGTTAATCACCCCCTCTGCTGGTCTGCTTCTTGGATACTTCGGCGTTCTCCAAGGAGAGGCTACTAATGTGCAGATAATTGGCTTTTCTGACCTCTGTTGAATGTGAAGAGACAAGAAGATACCTTTAGCCGCGGAACTGAGCTGGTGTGGGTATCTTTCTTTCAGGGAAGTTTGTTAGCTGGTGGTTTGCAATGGACAAATTTCTTGAAAGCTTCGCTCTCTCTCAAGGTGGTCAGCTTTGCCTTCGTTTTCCCAGGCAGGGTCATTTCTTCTGCGAGTGTTGGAGGAGACGGGAAATGGACGGGAAAGAGAGAGAAGAAATCACATCGGTCTGGAATTGGGGGACAACACAGCTAGTTCGTTTTATTTATTCATGGGTCTTTATTGTGCCTCCCTGAGAAAGAAGAGAGACGTGATTACCTCTTCTTCCCTTTGTGCACAAATATGCAAATCGGGGCAGCCAGCAATCTTCTGATTTCCCCTCCGCTGGGAGGACGGTAGCTACCCCCAATAAGGGAGAGCATCAGCAACAATTCCGCCTCTCATTTATTCAGCAAATGTGAATATTTTATAGCTGCACAGTCTGCCAAGCCAACTCTCAGCCAAACCAAGGGAGACTGAAAAAACACTTCAAACGTTTTACTCTATAAATTCTCTTTTCTAACCATAATGTGTTTCACCAATTTTTCCAAAATAACAAATCTTTTTAAAGTATATTTTATTGATTATGCTATTACAGTTGACCTAATTTCCCCCCTTTGCCTCCAGCTGCCTGATATCCCGTTTCCCTGAAGCACTCTCCCCACTTAGTTCATGACTGTGGGTCGTGCTTGTAAGTTCTTTGGCTTCTTTATTTCCTGTATCATTCTTCACCTCCCCCTTTCTATTCTGTGCCTACAATTATGCTTCTTATTCCCTGTAACTTTTCCCCCATTCTCCCCGCTCCACCTCCCAGCTGATAACCTCCCACACGATCTCCACTTCTGTGATTCTGTTCTGTTCTATCTCCATTTCTGTGATTCTGTTCTGTTCTAGTTGTTTGCTTAGTTTTGTTTTGTTTTTTGTTTGTTTGTTTTTTAGAGTCAGTTGTTGATAGTTGTCACTTTTTTGCCTTTTTAATGTTTATGGTTTTGATCATCTTTTTCTTAGATAAGCCCCTTTAACATTTCATATAATAAGGGCTTGATGATGATGAACTCTTTTAACTTGACCTTATCTGGGAAGCACATTATCTGCCCTTCCATTCTAAATGATAGCTTTGCTGGATAGAGTGATCTTGGATGTAGGTCCTGGCCTCTCATGACTTTGAATACTTCTTTCTAGCTCCTTCTAGCCTGCAAAGTTTCTTTTGGGAAATCAGCTGACAGTCTTACGGGAAGTCCTTTATGGGTAACTGTCTCCTTTTTTCTTGCTTCTTTTAAGATTTTTTCCTTATCTTTAATCTTGGGTGATGTAATGTTGTGTCTTGGTGTGTTCCTCTTTCGGTCCAACTTGTCAGAACTCTCTGTGCTTCCTGGACTTGTATGTCTAGTTCCTTTGCCAAATTAGGGAAGTTTTCTTTCATTATTTTTTCAAATAAGTTTTCAATGTCTTTCTCTTTGTCTTCTCCTCTGGCACCCCTATAATTTGGATATTGACGCATTTGGAGCTGTCCCAGAGGTTCCTCAGCCTATCCTTGTTTTTTGGAATTCTTGTTTCTTCTTTTCATTCTGGTTGAATGTTTATCTCTTTCTTATATTCTAAGTCATTGGTTTGAATCCCAGCTTCCTTCCCTTCTCTGTCGGTTTCCTGTGGATTATTCTTTATTTCACTTAGTATGACCTTTATTTCTTCCTTTATTTTTTGGTCATACTCAAGGAGTTCTCTGAGCGTTCTGATAAAGCAGTGTTCTGAACACTGCATGTGATAGGTTGGCTGTCTCCATTTCACTTAGTTCTTTTCCTGGGGTTTTGTTCTGTTCATTCATTGCAGCCATTTTTCTATCTCCTCAATTTGGCAGCCTCCCTGAGTTTGTTTTTGTGTATTCAGTAGAAAACTGGTTCTACTCCATATCTTAGTAACATGGCCTGTGTTGAAAAGGCACCTGTAAATTGTGTGTGGCAGGGCCTTAGGTGATTGCCAGGGCGGGGCAACCTGCTTCACTGCCTTGTGGCTGTGGGTTAGGGGTCGGACAGGGGACAGTGCCGCCGCCTGGCTTCTGGCACTCGGCCCGGTGCTTGCTCCATTTCCAACCTCTTCACCCCCTTCCCGTGTGTGACCAGCGCCCTCCAGCTGCTCCTCTCGTGGTGAACCCCAGGGTGGGTAGGTCTGTGTGTGTTCTAAGACCATGCTGGCCCTTTTAGCAGCAAAAGTCCAGCAGTTTCTTCCACCACCCCAACCTCCTCTGGTTTTTACCGCCCGAGGTCATGGGGATCTGTCCTCCTGGTGCTGGAACTCTGCACCGCGCCATCTGGCCTGGGGCCGGGATCGCTCATTCCCAAGGTCTCCCGCCCATCCATTCTGCCGCCGCCGCCACCTTTTCCCACGCCGCCTGTCCACCTGTCTTCTCCTACTACCGCCCATCCTACCGGTCTGCATGAGTGTGTCTTCTCCGACTCCTTGGTTGTCAGACTTCCATGCAGTTCCGTTTTCTGATGGTCCTGGGTGTAACTAGTTTTGAGGTCTGGTTGTAATTCTTTCCGTGGTGGTGGGAGGAGGCAAAGCATGTCTACTTACACCTCCGTATTGACTGGAAGTCAGCGCACTCCGAAATAGCAAATCTTTAATGAGCTTTTTTTACATCTTACCAAAAACAGTGATTAATGTTTCAGTTTAAAGTGTGCATAGACATACAGACATGTAAATAGGGAGGACACAGGCACTGTGATACGTGGTGTTACCCATGAAATCTGCCCCTTCCTCACCCTTGAAACTTAAGAAAATGTGTGGCTTGTGTGACAGTAGCCATGTTCGCAGGATCCGTATGAGGAGGAACTAAAATAAGTATGTGCTTCCATACCAGAAACCACAGGGTGGTCATTTCCTACAACACTGGCACCCAGCCAGCCAGGAAAAATGCTCACTAAGTGGTCGTCCTGCCCGGGGGGCTCCCCACAACGCTGTCCCACACGCCCCCATTCCACAGACTCTCCCGGCGGGCCCGCTCTCGCCCCGTGCTCGTTTCTTCCGCTCAGAAAGGATACGGGAATGTAAGCAACTGGGAATAACATTGTAAGGATAGCTTTGAATGTGATCTACTTCATTTCTTTTTAAATACACATTTTTAGAGCTCACTACTTAATGTTTAGTAGCAAATCACAACTGTCATTGTGCACAGCTGTTGAATTCACGGCGTGGGCAGTGTTCTGTCCCCTGAGTGGCCCGGTCCACTTCCAGCCACCTCGACCACTACAGAGTTGGTTCCTCCATCCTGCACGGAGCTGGGCTGCATCTCCTGCCTTGGCTCCTGTACACCAGAGCTAGCCACCTGCCGCATGCCAGGTCCTCAGCCTTTGAGAGTAACCATCACGTTCTCCCTGCACCTAGTAACACACCCCTGTTTCCTCTGAGGATTGGGCTTTGAGTCCGCCCCGTCTCTGAAAGTACCCCAATTCGCATATGCCCTCCATCACTCATTCAATAAGGACGTATTGAGCGCCTG